CACGAGGCCGATTTTTTTAAGATTTTGTTTGGCATATACGAGTAAGACCAGATATGTTTTAAGTCAGTTAGCTTTACTGTTAGAAAAACCATTTACTCAGCTTTATTATCGGTGCTCTTAAGTTTAAGATTCGCAAACCAACATCTATTTTCTCATCGTCACTTCTGAATACATGTTCACGTAATGAGTTTGGAATAACTTCACTTCACTCTAAAAGTTAGTAAGAACCCAGACATTCTAAAACAGATTAAATATGCATACTAGCCGTTTGATTTTGATCCACTTGTTCATCAAACGATGAACAGAAGTGAATGTTAGCAAGCTATTTTTGAGATAATCATATTACAACATGTGTATATCTAGTTCAGGAAAAAACATATCTCTAGGTGAACAGTCGCGATCTAAATCAGTGGACGAATTGTTGCAGGCGGTTTTACAGTCTGTTCACAGCGACTGACGCCTTTGAGTAGACTGTAGATCACCAACGTAGATAATCTATTCGAAGTGATTGGATGCCTACTCGAGTTAGACGTGAGTGGTGTGACAAACTAGCTAACATCGAAGTCACACTTCGCGGTCAGCACCTTACGTGGATTACCTCATTGACCTATCAAGGTACTATAGATGCTTTGAACACTGTACAACACAGAGGACGTTATTACAGTAATATATTAGTTAAAGTAGATAGAAGCGAAGGTGAGACCACTGCCGCATGGGCCAGTCTATGGCATGTGATCAACTGATGTGCGTTGGTTGTCCTTGACATCGACGAGGATCGATGATTTGTTCGATATTCAATGATCCAAATGCTGGATGATTTGGCTAGGTCTCAGCGGATTTTCACTGGCCCTGCAAGACTTAAGAAGTACTAAATGATGCCGGGCCACACGGTTTTTGTTGGTCTTGTTTATATCTATGAGCGAGATGCAAGTTAGCAATAAGTAAAGCCGGAGTGCATGGTGCATGTCTAGTCTAGCTATAGTAATGACAGAGTATGTTGTGTGTCGTTCAGCATGGTCTTTAGCTTCACGTTTTCTACTTTATCAATGGATTTGGATGTTTTGCAATCACCGTGGGCCACGAATGGTCTATGTTTCTATACGGCCTTGGCACGATATAAAACAAATATGATGGGGATTTTTAGTGAGCTTTACACAATAGGTGATAAATGTTCGGCTGTTGGGGTGATTATAATATTCGTTATATGGTTCAATACGTGCATATGAGAACGAAGAGCAGAGTTCTGAGAGAAACGTATAGAACTCAGAGTAAAAAGTTAACAGTTAACTTTAAGTGTCAGAAATATATTACTGTTCACGCAAATATCACATGGACAAGGCATTTTCTGCCAGTAGGTACTGTCAAGTTCGAGTGATAAACACGATGAAGATGAATGTAAAAACCATGTGGAGAGGAGCCAAAACATTCAAAGTTTGTAGGGCTTCCCTAATATTTTCAGCACGATCGGTGGAAGGTAAGTGGTTACACATTATTCTGAGAAGACAAGTAGCTAAATAGAGCAGATTTGTGGATCTACCAATCAAGTGGCCAAAACTAACAATATCCTCAATATCAGCCGTGCTTTATGACAACTGGCAGTTGTCCAATTCGGCTCGGTCTTTTTCAGCTTAACTACATTTATTATTGTTATGTGCACAAAACTGCGCCTTAATAGCATTTTGAAAACATCCCAACTATGAGTTCTAAAGCCATAAGCAGGGTTTTAAGATCTACAATAAATGCTCAAATTATTACATAATTAACATGGCTGTAATCCACAAGAAATGCAAATAATTTTTCTATATCCTGACTACGGCTCTAGAATAGAAATATTGGATACGGTAGTTATGTTTGAAATAGCAATTTTTGTAACAGTAAAACGATATGGCAGTAATCCTTACCATTAACAAAAGTTCGAGGTTCATTTCAAAACTAGATTTTAGCAATTCACTCTCTGAATCAGGAAAAAACAATGACCTATAAACTAGCCTTCGTTGTTTATCATAGTTCCCTCATTTCCCTCTTTATATTATCTCAAGGAACGTTCAAACAATGTTTAAGGCTGGAAGGACTGATCGAGTAGATGCGAAAATGAAGAGGTTTTTCATGGCAGTTCTCAGAGCAAACGAAACCGATAGGACCCAAGCTAAACAGAACGGAATATATCGGTAAAATATTCTGTTGTACTCGGATCATGAAGAAGAAAGCACTCTGTACACACAAGAAGTTGCACTGACGCTGTCCAAAAAGCTCAAAAATCACTTGCAGAATAGGATTCTCATGGATGCAGGATCATTAAAGCATCCCCCAAAACAAAGGAGGGAACCACAATCAATGTTAATCAGCACAATAAACCCGCCAATCATAGAGATGAGCATAATAATGATCAGTTTTCCAAGAGGATGCAGTCAACTTTCGAACAGTGCTCATGGAAGCACTTGGATTTTCTCATTGGAGATCTAAACGTTAGAGTCAGAATGGACAACACCGGGTACGAATATATAATGCGACGACTAAGAGAAAGGAACTGGAATGATAGAAGATTCGTAAATCCATATGCACGCAATAAAATGGTTATAACCTGCACAATATTCCCCTAGAAATACATGCACAGGGCTATATGGATGTCACCTGATCACAATACAGAGAACCAAATCGATTTTATTCAAATCACTCAAGAGGCGGTGAACTGGAAACAAAGACACCAAAAAAGAGATCTGAGCAAGTGTGAAGACTACAGGGGAATCACACCACTATCGGTATCAGGAAAGGTTTTCAACAGAGTGTTTTTTTAACCGAATCGAAGATTCAGTAGATGCCCAACTTTGAGATCAACAGGCTAGGTTCCGTAAAGATCAGTTGTGCACATACCAAATCGCAACAATACGGATCATTGTTGAGCAACCAAGTGAATGGGGTTTATCCCTATACATCATCTTCATCGACTATGAGAGAGCATTTCACAGTGTGGATAGGAGAAATTCATGGAAACATCTTCAACACTATGATGTGCCCGAGAAAATCGTGAAGAACAAACGAAATTCATACGACGAACTTCACTGCAAAGTCGTACGTGGAGGACAACTCACAGATGCATTCAAAGTAAACATCGGTGTCAGACAAGAATCCTTACTCTCCATTTCTCATTATTCTGATGGTCGACTGGATTACGGAGAACACATCTAAGTGAAAACACGAAATAAAATAAACAGCTTGCAGGCAACTTTGCGGATGACCTGTCCCATACACACCAAAATAGGCAGGTAAAGAAAGCCAGTGTAGTAGTAGTATGTGAAGCAGTGGACCTCAACAAACACAAGTGAAAATCAAGATCCCGAAATACAATACGGAGAACGCCAACTGTATCACAGTTAATGGAGTTCTGTTGTGTCATATGGATTCTGAGTGAAAAAGATGAGCTACTGATACTAGCAAAACTACGTTATACTGACGGCTGTGCTTATGCTAATCAGAACCACTATGAAGCCCCGATTATCTCAGGCAGAATCTAAAGTGAAGTGATAGAAAACTTTTTTGTTGTCACAAAAGAAGGGAATGTCGGCAAGGTTTGTTCATTAAAATATTTGTAATCAACAAAGATCTTTTTCATGCAGCTAGAAAGTGGATCTAAAGTGGTGCCTGAGCTGAATTCTAGAACATACATCTTCCTAATGCATAGTATGTGGCAAAGTACTTGACGTGATTCAATACGTAGTCAAGATTGTTTCGCGATGTCAGATTTTTTCTTCTCTGATCTTTATCTCTACTTTAACTTCCAAGTTTCATATGTTTGCAAATGTAAGAGTGACATCTATTGTAGTGAACAAGAACACCAGTGGGGACAATTGAATAAAATATACAACAAATGACAGAACTAGTTGGTAAAATCTAACAACCATATATTAAATGCTCAATTTGCAAATTGTTCATCAATTGTCTCAAATGACCCAAACTTCCTTTGTTCTTGCATTTTCATACAAATTGCATTCTTTCTTCATTCTTTGTTGTTTGATCTTCTCGTCTCTCTGCTGCCAGACATTCTGTTCATGACTCACGTCATATAATACTTATGTCTACATAAGTAGCACACACCACAATATCACATATGACGAAAAACTTCAACAGTTATTAAAATCACCTCAAAACTCCAACCTGAACCCCAATGCTCAAAATAAAACTTTTTGCATTATCTCTGAAGTTAGTCGATGATGAAAACTTTATGGGACTATAACCCTAGCTATAAACATTACTTCGATACTCAATCTGCAAAACGCAGCCCTTTTGTCTTACTACAAAGAATAATTCAACATGAGTTGATCATTGAGATCGAAGCTATCATCCACGTTTATAATATGGATTTCTGCTGTCAATTCTTTTTAACTAGGCGATGTTTCCTGAGTGACGGAAAGGAAACTCAAGGTCGTCACTATGTTATGTTGCACTTTCCAGCAGTCGTAGGGCATATAAAAAGATGAGATTTTGTCGTTGATATCCAAGTAACTGATATAACAGCTTGGTTGCATATTGAATTCTTTTGGAAGTACGACGTAAGACTTACTGCTGAGTTATGTTCTGAATAAATAATTTGAGCGGTGCATCATATTATTTCCTTCAACTTTGCAAGATCACTGATGTTGTGTGACGTGGAGTTGTTCCAGGTATAATTGATTCATGAACTACAACATACGTCAGTACACTGATGTATTTAATGTGCCAAAAATTAACAGTTGTAGGATACTGGTGTACGAACATCACCGAATAACAAAGCTAGCAGTATGTTTTTATTAGAATTATTTCTTCCAGAACATGCCACGAGAAGGCAGTGAATATGAATTCCCTGGCAGAGGCTGTATACACGTGGCCATGTAAAGGCATTTCAAGAAGAGCTAACTCTCCTCACCCTCGGCCGTATCAGAGTATTTGGGGGCCCTATCATTCGTATCAATCAAACCCCCCCCGCAGTATTATAATCAATAGAGATTAATAAAGACAACCACAGTTTCATTCAAATAGATAACAAGATATATATTTACAAAGAGAAGTGAAAACATTTTCATGATATTAAAATCCCGACAGTATTTATTCTTCTTTTTTGTTTTTGTTGATGCTTCCACATTGATTAATTATAAAGTAAAATCTAGTTAGTTTGTAAGCTCTACAACAAAAATATAACGTCCTTACATAAAGTATGCATCAAATGATGTGTATAGCAAAGGGAATAATAATTGGAATTAGCTAAGTAAATAAACATGATACACATGTTCAGAGAATAATAAATTCCTATAGAATATCAAGTTTTAAAATACATGTCACAATTTGGAGCAGTAGTTGATAGATTATTGTAATTTTGTAATTGAGTAGTATGTATTAATTCAGTTCTATCATAATTATAAGGATTCCATATAGTGGTATTTGGACATATTTGTTGATATGTGAATTTATTATTTAGATTATTAGTGGTAGGATATAAACTATGAGCAGTTTTATATATACTACTATGAGATGGATTTGATCGACCATATTGATTATTGTATGTATGAGCTGTTCCACAACTACGTATATGCATAGAATCAATTGCTGGAATTTCAATAGCTCCAGGTATATTATCATCAAGATCATCTTTCACTTCAAAACCAATTTCAAGTGATTTTTCACTTTGAATTGATGAACTAGCATTGGAAAGACGATCCCAACTTTCAGGTAACTGTAAAAATAATATTTGAAAAAGAATAGACTAAGTACTAGTGCAAGTCATTTTTGAAAATGTCCTTTTAAATATTTGCTGAAACTATCTAAACTACTTATAAGTAGTAGCATAAAGTGTTCCCAAATTCCCTGGTATGGTCGAAAGTGGGGAGAGTCCACTCTCCCTCTCGAAATGCTCTCACATGGCAACGCGTATACAGCCTCTGTCAGGAAGGTCTACTCACTGCCTTCTCGTGACACCGGTGTTGTTTACGAAAATGAGAGGACGAAAAGTGAATGTCCGACGCTTTAATCGGTTCACAAACCAATGGTGCACATGGGCTAACTCCAGTATCCTGAGGGAACAAATGGCGTATGAACCAATCATTGGTCACCGGCTACCATGGGACTGCATCTCCTCACGATGCTCCACTGCCTTGTGGATCAGACGTTCAGGTCGAAGGCTCGGGGTGTGTTCCCCTAAGAAAACCACCTGCTTCGGTTCGGGCGCCTGAGCAGTATCACAGCCCTCATACATATCAAATGAGATCTGTGTGGCGCATATGTATTTGGTGCCTCCTTGTACCAATATCTATGTGTTAAGATAATTAAAATAGTAGCATAAAGTTGTGAAGACTACTGAATTTGACTGATAATACAAACAGTTCCAAGTATAAAATAGCATCAGAAAATACTCTTACATACAAAAAATAGATAAATTTCGATGGCAGGAATTATTCAATTCATTTAGTATATAACGAGCTAATATGAGAATTTTGATGTATTGATGGAATATATTAACTGCATTATCAAATTAGATGTCACCGCTATAGAATTTGAATAGAATATATAACCTAAAGAACTGTTTGTTGTCAATTGGAAATGTGAACTATTTGATAAATATATGGAGTATTTGTGGAGATTGCATTATTTGCATAGTTGAACTCACGGAATCATCTTAGCTAAGCCATCATTGAAAACCTGGAAGCACTGGACAGACATTTTGTCCTAATATGGAACTCCTCGGCAGTGTGCATCCGCAATTTCACACATGGCACTCTAACCCTTGACCTTCAGTCTCGTGTGCGAACTCTCAACCTCCAGATCGCTAAGGGTTGTTTTATATCATGGACTAATTGAATTTAGACATTAACATCGCTGGATCCCGGCTCAGTGGTCTGGAGTCTGAGTGTTCGCGCTCGAGACTGAAGGTCACTGCTTCGTAGTTCCGTATTGGGACAAAATGGCCGCCTAATACTTCAAGGTTATAAATGGTGAACTAGCTAAAATCAGTTCGTGAATTCAACTGTTAAAAAATATATATGATACGATAAGCTAAAGGTAGGGTGTTACTCATGAAGCTCCAAGTTCATAGACCTAATTTTTGACGAGGTCAAAGAACCAATTTACTAAAACGGTCTTATACTAAAACAACATACCTGTTAAGCGTTTCCTTATTTTTAAAAATACTTGGTGTAAAGTAACTTTGGAAGGAATATAGTTGGCGAAATTCCTACGTTAAAGTGGATATTGTATAGAAAACTAACATTAATCCACGTTAAAAATTATTTAAGTAAAAATACGTGTAACATAATAAATAGAAAATTGTCTATGAAAAACGACTTGACCTGTGTTGAATCGACGATGAATACGTCAGATTCATTTGAAGATGGTTTGGAAGAACTCTTTTCAATTACATTATCTGTATGGATGAAACGAAAAAAAAACATTAATCAGTATTAATAGTAGTAGTGTACAGAACTAAAATTAAGGTCAGAAAATATGTAAGCAACAAAATATACGTTATAGGCATAAATGAATGGTGGCTAGTAGTGGGATTCAAGACGTGAATTTTGTCCTATTTTGAACTCATCAGCTGGATATATACCTGCATCCTAGAGTTGATGTTTACTCAGTGACCCGAACTCTGGAATGCAGGTACATCCAATTGATGAATCTTAGATAAGACGAACTTCGCGTCTTGGATTCCACTTAAAGTATTATCGAGGCAATTCGCACATGATACATATATACCAATAAGAGATTGATCAATGGCAGTTCTAAACATAAATGGAAGGATTCAAGCAAACAATACCAAATGAAATAAAATATGCACTTTAAATAACGATAGAAAAGTAAAACTGTAATATTCAATTCCAATCAACATACGTGCTATGAATACAAACTAAACATACACTAAGTAGATTACAATATTCATTAATCGCCTTCCAAAAATAATTTAAGGTTTGTACATCGACAACATTATAATCCTAATATATGTAGTATGAATAATTTGATTGTGATTATCACTATATGAAAGGAAATACAAACGTTCTACGAGATAGGAATTAGAAGTACGGATAGTAGCAAATGTATTCACACACACACACACACATACACACACGCTCCATTAGCTACAATTATCACATTTATGTTGCATAAAATGACTGAATATGAAGAAGAAAGCCGAAATTATTGTATGACTCTAACTAATGAATTTCAGATTACTAACTCACAACTTAAATAACTAGAATGTATAATTTATACTACGAACTGGCTACTGGAGTTCATCTGTGTTAGGTATGAGGTAGTTAGTCACGAATGGCTTCGGGAAATGTTTATAAATTATCATGAATTAATTGAAGTCAAGCATGTAAACCATTTGATCCTGAATCACTGGTCTGAAGGTTAAGTGCTTGCTACAAACTTGCAGATTGTGGGTTTGATCCTCCGTTGATGATTTAATGTAAGTTTAACAATCTTCAAGAAAATGTTTACAGTAATAACTGAGAATTAATTACAATAATCAATATAGCTTAGTGATCAATTTACAATCCTATGTTACTTCAACTTGAGCCGTACTTTAGACGTCAAGTCTAACACAGGTACTAACTAACTAACTAGCTAAATAGTTGACAAGGGCAAAACTTGGTAGCTAGTTTTCAATCCCATTTGCTAGGGAGCGGACTCACAAAGCCCACATCATGTAACTGTCCATGTTGTTAATAAAATCTAATCATGATTACTTTTTTTTATTAATAATCAGCGTATTTTTGTAAAGCGTTCGCTTTTTATGCTAAAGGTAACTTGATCAGTAAGAGCAAGTAAACGACTAGGCAAATACGCCGTAATGAAACGACATATGATGCACTATTTTCGTTTTTACAACAAATATTCATCGTAAATGACTATCCATCTAGATTCATCAATAGAAACTTACGACCCAGAACCACGGGCTAAAAGACTGTTAACAGTTCAAAAGAAAATTAATTTAATGAATATTGGATTCAAAGGCTATAGAAATCTTGAATAGATGAACTACAAAATACCTGATAAAAAGTCACAACTCAACTAAGCTTCATATTGTCTTCATAAACAAGTCTACTATTCACATATATGTTAGGGTCATATCGATGTGAATCTATAAGTTTAATTGCTCTTGAGGGATATCTCAGAACATTCCTCAGCATAACATTTAAAAGAGGAATGAGAATTGGTGTGTGTATTTTATATTAATGAGTAAAAGTAACTTTTATGGCAGATCGATTTGTTCTGTTGTTTGATATCCGCTAATTTCGTAGTATCGAATCATTATTAAATCAATTTAAGTAAGCAAATGACATTAACAATTCAGAAAACTAATCGTTTGATCACAACTGCTCACAAATACATATACACTTTATGCATTTAATTCATGAGATTCAAACAACTCGAATTGAAGTAAAAAATTGAGAGCTTTATCCAATACAGCCTTAAGATATTCAGTCATAACTATGAAAAAGACCATAATTTTGCATTATTTACAAAGTAAATAGATCCATCAATGTAAAATGAATTGGATGAGGTTAGACATTAACACTGTTGGATGCCAGCCGGCTCAGTAGTATAGAGGTTAAGAGTTTGTGCGCAAGATCGAAGGCCCTGGGTTCGAATCCCGAGAGCAGGATCGTGGAAGCGCAGTGTTGAGGAGTCCCACAATAGGACAAAACGGTCTTCCAATGCTTCCAGGTTTTCAATGGTGGTACAACAAGATCTCGATCATAAAACGAATGAATTTCGACATCTTGCAAGAAATAATGTAGCAAAACACTCGAGTACATTATGCAATATTATATTAAATAATACGATAAGACGAAGGTTATCAGAATTATATGATATATTTATGCAATACATCTCAAACAATGTGATCATACATATACATGTTAAATACACTTATATATGAGAAATTAAAGGGTAAGCGGAAACAAAGATGATATCAATAAATTACACAATATAAAAACTATAGTGGATAATAAATCAGTATTACCAGGGTAGAGTTAAAGCTACGAATAAATCGTTTTTTAATACATAAAAGGAATTTCAGTTAAGATGTAATCTGCTTATTAAGGGAAGTCAAAATAAATCAAAAAATACATTTCTTTTACAATACGCAGAAAAAATGAATAATCAGCTCCCTTTTCTAGACATATTGATTGGTACAAGAGACGATGGCTCCACATTGGAAAGCCGTCATGAACAGGCCAATATATGAGTTTTTATAGCCACTGTTCAATCCAGTACAAACGTGAATTATTAGAAGGCTTATTCAATAGGATCAGTCGTATTTGTACTAGCGATACTATTGAGGGAGACGTGAGGCTCTTAACTGAAACATTGATGAATAATGGTTATTTATTGAAGCTTATGAGCCGTTGGGAAGGCATCAATATGATGAGGGCTATGACGTTTATGAAACCCGAAAAACGAGTCTATATTATTTTACCATTCATAGGTGTCTTAAATAGTCTCATATTTAATTGAATACTTTAACTAGCTATCATCAGGACGTTCTGTGCAACCAAAATAGTCATTATCGAAAACTCAAGGTCTGTGTTTCACTAAAAATTTAAATAGCATGTAAGCGATACTGTCACATCCCCTTTTGTCTATCAATTTATGTGTATGTGTAAAAATACGTACATAAGAAGTAACAATGGCGAGCTATGAATAAAGGTAGCCAATCACATATCTAAAAGACTGCAAAAACAAATGAATCCCAACAGTAAAATAAGAACACAGGATAGGCAAATAACCTTCACAATTGCAAAACATTTGATTAAGGCTGGTCATACTGTTTATAATAAGTCAGCCTTTGTAATTTTGTACAAAATTTTAAAAGGTGTATACTAAGGTTCGTTGAAGCCTTGACCATACGAAAACTGAAATTCCTTTTATGTCAGTCAGCAGTTACAATATAGGACCAGGCACATATATGCATTGGTCCAACTTGCCACACCTCATTAGCAAAACATGATGAGCATCAAATTCATAGAACTATTCATTCTCAACCTTAACCCTACCCTGGTAATACTCATGTATTATCCACTATAGTTTTTATATTGTGTAATACATTGTTATCATCTTTGTTTCCGCCTACCCTTTAATTTCTCATATATAAGTGTACTTAACAAGTATATATGGGTGATCAGATTGTTTGAGATGTATTGCATAAATATATCATATAATTCTCATCGAATCATCCCAAATCTATCAAAGGGATTAATTGTTTTAAATAGAATATTAAACTAACCTGATATAAGGACACCATTTATCGGAACAGTTACAAACGGTATACTATCTAGATCATTTTCACAAACACCAACACTACCACAACCATTGTTATCGTCATCAGTATTATTATTATTATGATGGTTATTACTCAATATTGTATTATCTTGTTGCTTATTCAAAAGTTTTGAATTAGATTGTATTGACTTTGAATCAGTTAAACTACCATGATCTTTAGTGTGTTCAATAACATTGTGAATTGAAGAATTATCATTGATACCATTTATACTAGGATTATTATGATCATCTTTGACAGTAGCTACTACTACAGTAGTATGAGTAGTAGTTAGATTATTTTCATTATTATTAATATCAGCATCATATTCCTTGTCATTTTGTATAGTTTTATCATATTCATTATGAAATAGAAATTCTGACTCTTCAGTTGAATTCAAGTGAGAATTTAAAGCCGTATGAAGAAGTTGTAAATCTTCCTTGATTTAAACAAAAATAATAAAAATAAAAAAAATGAGATTCGTTGATAGCAACTTGGCACCCAGACTTCATGACAAAGCATTGACAACAGAGAAGAAAACTCTATTTATGAATATGGAATTTAAAGGAGACACGGCTGCTGAAATCCTAAATAAATGGATTTCGAAATCGTTCAATGAAACATTCTACGCAGTTAAGCTCCGAATTGTTTTTACTCTAGCCGACCTACCATTCTGGGATGTGTTACGGACAAACTTCCGCTTTAGGCCACATCAATATGTGGAGAACGTTACATATGCCACACAAAACGATCATTGTCCAAACGCATCTTGGAACATTATCCGGCATGGCTCTTAAAATGGGGAACGTAAAACAATTATTAGTTCGATACAGGAGCACTTAATTAACTGTGGACACATCGCTCCAAAGGACTCTTCATTTAAAGTAACCTACAGAGTCAAAGGGACTGGATCGAAGGGGGTTCGAATCAATATTTTATGCACTACTGAGGCATTAGCAATCCACAAACTCAAGCCTGAACTTTGCGTACAGAAACGATTTGTCCAACCTCTCATCCTTCCTTGGCCCTAATTCCCTTAACGGGTATGTTTCAGTGTTTCTGTGCTTTTTTGTTTTTCTGCACTTTTATTTAATTATTAGCGATATTTTTTTCTTTTTGAAATTACTGTTATGCATTTTAAACTCTAATCTGTTATTATTATCACCTTATACAAGTTTTCTTGATTATAGATTCAGTTTCCACAAAACCCCTTCTGACAATAATCAACATATGCTCACTAGTGACTGGCTTTAAGAGGTATATCCTGGAGTTCTAGTGAGAAGTAGTGACCAGTGGAGTTCAACCAGGTCTGTTGTGGGATAGTAACTCACTGAAGACAATGGTGGATGTGTCGCTCAATTTCATGGATTAGTTAGACATTAACACCGTTGGATACCGGCTCAGTGGTCTAGTGGTTAAGTGCTCGCGCGCAAAAACCGGTAGGTCCTGGGTTCGAATCTCGCAGGGGGCGAGGTCGTGGATGCGCACTGCTGAGGAGTCCCATAACAGGACGAAACGACCGTCCAGTGCTTCCAGGTTTTCCATGGTGGTCTAGCTTCAACTGACTCATGATCTTAAACATTGAGTTGTTTTTGTTTTTTATTTGTTTGAATGCACATATGCCAATAAGAGACTGAACAATTTCAGTCCTAAACATCAATGGGAAGATTCAAACAAATAAAAAACAAAAACAATATCAAGTGAATTAAACTTCACCCCATTGCACAAGCAAGTGGCTATCAGGACTCAGTAGCTAAGTGGATAACGCGATGGCGTTTGAAGCGGACGGTACTTGGTTCAAGTTCCGGAGTGAACATCAACTCTGAGATGCAGGTACATCCAGCTGATGAGTCCCAAATAGGACGAAACGTGCGTCCTGGATTCCACTGCTAGCCACTATCCACCTTTGCTTAATCATTGAGATTCAGTTTTATTAATATGACCTTTGTTGTTTGTCGCTTTTCTTCATATCTGTGTCAATTAGACTATTATCTGACCCATAAATTCTGTTCTTCCTTACCCCTTGATTAGTAATATTAACCTCATTTGTTATTTATTCTCGAATCCATTTTTTTATGTGATACAATCCTTTCTATCCTTCCATAGACATACATTTTCAATATTGTACAGGTTAAGTAAATGATTTCGTCGAAAAGAAAATTTTCTTAGCTGAATACACTTTTTTCTTACTCAATGACATTATGGGTTATTTTAATTATCCAAAAAATGACACAATTTACATGTAGATCCATGTATTTAATACTTCAAATTGTATACTTTATATAGTTCATTCAAGACTATACATAATAGAAGCGGTTAAACCAAGACATGATATTAGTTTATAAATTCATTGAACATTGGACTGAGTCATGTTGATAAGTGTAGACTACCTGGTTGGGATTCGCGCGTTTATCGTAACCAACGGTTAGAGACTTCGAATGACATGGTTCAAAAATCGTTTGCAATGGTGCAGGTGCATCCATTTTTTGTCTTCATCCAAATTCTGAACTCCTGAATTTCTTATAACTTGTTTTTGTGTTTTTGTTTCACTAATTTATGATTTCTTGAATCGCATCTTTGACATCTTATTTTTTTTAAAATCCATATGCATACTGCTGCTAAATCTACCGTTCTGCAATTTGACCTGACAATTTCAATTCTCTAGGTTAACGAGTCATAGATACTTGAACTGATGTAGCCGTTCATATAGTTCAATATTCTTTCTAATTATTTAATTATGAATAAACCAACCATCTTAGTGTCAAATAACTCCGATAAGTATAGAAAGTAGAAAGTCATGTTCATCAATAGCAAGATATATCATTGAAATAAGTCGTAGAATTAACATCAATTAAGCTTTTAAAATGTTATATAGAAATCGTGAAGGATGAATAGTTAGATTTAGAAGAGTTTTGCCTATGCACAAATTTAAACACATCCCTTATTTGCACAAAAACAGCTTATCATAAGCCGGAATTAATTGTCCCGAGGTAATCTTCAAGTCATTTTACACTGCCGATCGTAGTTGCAACCTTGACGTGGTGATCGGGCTTGCTTATCGTGATGAACCAGTAGGGCTATACTGGTTCGAACAATCGTTCCTCAAAGTCTTACCATGCTAGACAGCTCGGTTGAGGAGCGGTAAGACTAAAAGCAACAAAAACAAGGTTCAAAGGCGAAGTCCTACTGCTGAATGTACAGAGGTGTGACGGCAGTAAGGTGTTTCCTCCAGACAACTAGCATGAAAGCAATGCTGCCTTCTCACTAAAAGGAGTGGGATTAGGACTGATCGACCCTAAAAATTCACACATCACCTTATCCCACAGATATCCATTTCCTGTGGTAAGGTCTCAACAATTATGGAGCTGACACGAAAATCACCTACAAAAAAGTCGTGTGTGAACGACCTTAAGCAGTTGTCGCTTGGGCATTGTAGTCACGCTCTCAGGTCACCTAGACCACCTCTAATCCAATTTCATTTTCAGACACCTTCAGAAGAACCCTTCTACAGTGTGGGCAAACGGGAAGTGATAACCGCTTTCATACTTTTTAACAACACTCAAGACTAACTGATTTTACACCCCCTAAAGTGATGTGATAATTTCCTATTCTTTTCATATTCAATCAATTTCCTCTTTTTTTTTTCTTTTTTCTTTACAATGATCACCTTGTGTTTATTAGAAATTTTATTCATTTCCATTATCTTTTATAAATTTTCCTAAAAAAAAAAACAAACGGAATGACTTAACAGTTAGTAGTGTGATTAGATTGATCAAAAGTATAAATGATATCATAAATAGATCATATGTTACTGAAACCATAACTCTATCTTTTTTCATTGTCCTATTGAAATGTTATGATGATGAACAAGAAGAAAAAAAACAAAAAAAACAAACACAAACACATACCAAAAAAAAAGAAAGACTAACCATTGTCAATGTATACAAGTATTTGTTATAATATTTGAATGAATCGTTTTACAGTATAGGATCAGCATTAGTGAAAGTTAAGGAGAGGTTTCCAAAGAAGAAAAAAAAAGCAACAATAGAATGTTGTCTATGAGAACAATTGTTATGTTTGTAGTGAAGCTTATTCGGGATAATTGAATGTGAGGTTGAAAGAACACAATAAGTGTTTGAAATATTTAGAACAATTAGTCCCGAGTACCCTCATTTATATGGACTACCTAAAATTCATAAATCAAACATTCCTTTACGTCCAATTCTATCAATGTGCAAATCACCTACACATAACCTGGCTAAATGGTTAACAAAGTTGTTGAACCCTATGCAAGTATTCTCTAAAGGATACTTTTGAACTGGTCGATCATTTAGGTGATATTAATATCAAGGAAAAGACAATGTGTTCATCATTTGATGTGAATTCCTTGTTTACAAATGTACCTTTGAAAAAAACTATTGATATATTATGTGATTACATATCTGTAAACAATCTCCAATCATGTGTCCCTGAACAAATTCTTAAAGATTCACTTTTGAAGGTGAATACTTTTGTCAGATTGATGGGGTTGCTATGGGTAGTCCGCTAGGACCATTATTAGAACACGTGTTCATGGCACATGTTGAAAATCAGACTGATGACCTAATTGAAAACACATCACTTTATAAGAGATATGTGGACGATATCTTAGTTGTTTCTGAAAGAATTATTTATTTATTTTAACACATAGATATTGGTACAAGGAGGCATCAAATACATATGCGCCACACAAATCTCATTTGATATACGTGAGAGCTATGATACTGACCGGGTGCACAGACCGAAGCAGGTGGTTTTCTTAGGGGAACACACCCCGAGCCTTCGACCTGAAGATCTGGTCCACAAGGCAGTGGAGCATCGTGAGGAGATGCAGTCCCATGGTAGCCGGTGACCAACGATTGGTTCATACGCCATTTGTTCCCGCAGGATACTGGAGCCCATGTGCACCATTGGTTTGGGATCCGGTTAAAGCGCCGGACATTCGCTTTTCATCCTCTCAATTTCCCTGGCAGAGGCATTATACGCGTGGCCATGTGAGAGCGGACTCTCTCCACTCTCGGCCGTACCAGGGCATTTGGGGGCTTTGTGAAAGAAAAGAGGATATGCACTGTTTATTAAACAAATTCAACACTCTCCAAAACCATATCAGTCTCTCATGTGAAGAGGAGAAGAACGATCAGCTCCCCTTCTTAGATATACTTCTGAGTAGACGAGAAGATGGCTCAGTCAAGCGATCCATTTTTAGAAAACCAACATGGACAGGTTATTATAGTTATTGCCTTGTGTAATACAAACGTAGTTTGATAAGGTGTCTTTTCAACAGGCTTGATCGTATTTGTACAAATGACGCCATTGATGACGATGTTAAGTTGCTACACAAAATATTAATAGAAAATGGTTACCCTCTAAAATTCATAAATAGATGGAAAGTTCATGCTACAGTAAGACCTACTGTAGCCTCGGTAGAAAAAAAGCCTGTTATTGAAACAAAGACTTAAATCAGTCATCAATAAGACGTACTGTGCAGCAAAGGTCATTGTCAAGGAAAGAACAAGGTGCATGTTTCATCCAAAACCTAAAAGACATGAAAACGATTGTGTCACATCCCACTGTGTTTACCAATTTAAATGTGTGTGGTCACACATACATAGGGAGGAGCAATCGTGATCTCAACATTAGGGTGAGCGAACATGTACCCAAATGGTTGCAGAAACAAATACAATCAAGTGACCCAATAAGAGCAGGGGATAAACATCCATCATCCTCTATTACTAAACATATAACTGAAACAGGGCATAAGAATGATCTTAACTCGGCTTTTGTTGTATTGTATATAAGTGTATAAGCGCGTATACTAAGGTTTATTGAAGCCTTAGCCATACGAAAATTCAAACCCCCTTTGTGTATTCAAAAACAGTTTGTTCTTACCTTAAGCCTACCCTGGTAATATTGATTGGGTTTTGAATTCTGTTCAGATTACTATTATTATTACTTTTATTATTATCCTTATCTCCTCTTACCCCATTTCAAGTCTAGTTGACCGTTTATTTTTATATATAAATGCTCTTAACAAGTATATGTGTAATCAGGTTGTTCGAAATGTTTGAAATATGTTTGTAAAACTCGGATGATTTATAGAAACTTGAGAATAGGTCGGCGATAAAGTTATATGCATTGGAAACAGAATACAAGAATACATTTGAAGAGATTAAAATACTTTAGAAAGGGTTTATCATACATAAAGAAGGATTGGCAGCAGAAGCATCGTATTTATGGGCTAATAGCAAAAACTTCAACAGGAAAGATGGTATTCAACTAGCTACCAGATGGAAAATGTTCATTAACAAGTAATTAAACCCTATCTCTATCCAACCTGTTTATTTCATATGCTTGGTGAAGACGCTGACAAAATGCACTCTTTTGATAGCACTAAGCAACAATGCCAGAATGTTTGGGATGCGCTTCTCTCCCTCTAAATGCAAGTTGTTGCTTCAGCACTGGTCTGCGTCTACACCTGAACTAAGGATAGCGAGTGGAGTAGTCGAACGCGTTGACAACTTCACTTATCTTGGATGTCTGATCAGCCCTAATGGGTTGTTGTCTGACGAAATCTCTGCACGGATTCGGAAAGCTCGTTTGGCTTTCGCCAACTTACGTCACCTATGGAGAAGGCGAGATATCCGTGTATCAATAAAAGGACGAGTATACTGCGCGGCAGTTACTTCTGTTCTGCTTTACGGCTGCGAAACGTGACAAATAAGAGTAGAAGATACTCGTGAGCTACTAGTATCTGACCACAGATGCCTTAGAAATATTGCTGGGATCACCGGGTAAGTAATAATGAGGTTAGACCTAGGGTACTAGGGAATGATGGTAAATCAGTTGATGAGGTTATGAATCTTCATCGACTGAGATGGTTGGGCCACTTGTTACGTATGCCTGAACACCGATTACCACGATGTGCAATGCTAACTGGTGTTGTGGATAGTTGGAAGAAAGTTAGGTGTGGCCAAACCAAAACGTGGCATCAGTGCTTGAAGTCATGTTGGTAGATGCAGACTATTTGGTTGGGGTCAGTGTGACTATCGTAACCAATGGTTGGAGACTCTTGGTGACATGGCTCGGAATAGATCACAATAGCGTCGGTGTATACACTCTTTGTTTGCCCTTAAACTAGGAGATTAAAATCACTTCATATATTTCTATCTACGAAATAATTCTTTCTTCCTCTACTATCTCCTTATATGCAATCTTTCTTTTATATATTACCACCACTGGATTAACTACTTCTATGAATCCGGTGTTCATCTTGTTGTGCTAATGCGGTATGGCAACTTGAACCGATGCTCTTGTGTGGCGCATATATATTTGGTGCCTTCTTGTACCAATATTTATGTGTTCAAATAAATAAATAAATAACCGATGCTCATATGTGCCTAGTCCTACGTTGTGGCTGACTGACTGATCACATACAAATAGACGTTTTAAAAGAAAATTTAAACAAATTAACACTATTAATGATTCGAACCTACGCACATACACACAAACACAAATAATCACTCATTCATTTCGATTGACATTGTGAACTTTTCACATGATTCACATTTAATTAACTTATATTATGTAAACAATTAAAGCCAATTCATTTCTGAATAGAATTGCATAATCACTTAGTGTATTATTATATTTTATTATTTAAACACATAAACATTGGCACAAGGAGGCACCAAATAGATATGCGCCATATAAATCATTCGATTTGTGTGAGGGCTAGGATACTGCCCAAGGGCCCAAACCGAAGTAGGTGGTTTACTTATGGGGCCACACCCCAAGCCTTTGACCTAGAGGTTTGATCCACAAGGCAGTGGGATAACGTCAGGAGATACAATCCCATGGTAGATGGTGGCAAACGATTAGTTCTTCCGCTTTACATCCTCTCAGTTTCGTAAACAACAGTGGTTATATGCACGTGGCCATGTGAGAGAATTTCGAGAGAGAGCTGAATCTTCCCGTTCTCGGCCGTATCAGGGCACTTTGGGGCCACTTAGTGTACAGGTTTGATTTGATTATTTAACTTTATATATACTTGGATTATTTTAATTTTTATTAATTATCCTGAAGAAATCTAGACAAGTTTATTGGACGAAACATTTAATCATAATTATCAATTATTATATAATAAAATGAAAGGAAAGAAGAAAAAAAAAACATACTTCAAGATATGGCCATTCACCGTAAATTGAATTTAATCGTTCACGTTCTGATGTTGATGTTATCGCTAAATACACTGTGGAATTCAATAGATGTTTAGAGGAATCTAATAATTCAGTTTGTTGTTGTTGTTGTTGCTGTTGCTGTTGGTCTTGATGAGTATTATTTGTTTGATTTTGTTTATTAAATGATTTTTCATTTATTTTACTATCAAATTCTATTAATTGTTTTTGTAAAGGTTCAACTGGATGTGCACCATATCGTAAACTTCTTAAAGCTCTAATAGCTGAATAATAATCTAATGAATAAACAGTCATTAAATAAGCTGTAACAACAGCTACATTAGCTGATAGACCTGAATCACTAATTTAAAACAAAAAAAAAAGAAATATAGAAAAAGATTTTTTATAAAAGATTGTTTAGTAAACAATCAATACAAAAATGAATTACAATTTCAACTCATTACACAAGTTAGTGGCTATATGAACTCAGTAGCTAAATGGAGAATGTGATAGCATTTGAAGCGAACAGTATTGGGTTTAAGTTACGGAATGAACATGAACCCTTGGATCCCAGCATATTCAGCCGATGAGTCCCAAAATAGGATTCCATTGCTAACCACGATCTATCTCTGCTTATAGTGTTTAATAAAGTTTATATGTAATGTTGGTTAAATAATTGTTAAAAGTCAGAAAGCATCGGACAGTTGTTTTATCCTAGTATAAGACTATTTCGTAGTGCTTATCTACGACTGTATATAGGATTGAACTCAAGCATTGAAAGGTAATTGACGATAATCTCGTATTGATAAACTAAACATATAAACTATTGAAAGCTTGACCAGATGTTTGAAAGTTAAGTATTCACCATGAGATCTAAAGGTAACTGGTATTAACCCAACTGGAATCAAGATTGTGTACTGCTGAGAAGTCGTACACTGGGATGAAACAACTATCCAGTACTATCTAGTTTTTAACGGCTGTCTAACTCATGTTAGTCTATGATGTAACCTATGAAATTTAACAATCTCCATAAAATCCCTAAAGTAGCATATTTATTATTTCATTCTACTACTCAGGCGCATCAACTAGACAGTAACACTAGTCATAATATCCCAATTCCCAGTAATAACCAATTATCAGATGAACTATCTAAATTAAGCACGATTTGAACAATTTAATCAAAATCTTATTTAACAATTTATAATAGCTAGAACAATCGATAGGTACCAACCAGAGAAATGAGGTTATACTGATTTGTTGGAAAACTATAATATTTATAAGATATTAGATTTAAGGCGATAATGTAATGTCTAAAGCATTTCACTTTTAATTAACATGAGCTTACAAGTTCAAATCATGTTTCATTAACCACAGTGGTTGTAATGACCAAGTAATATCTTTAGTGGTGGTCACAAAATGTATGTGGCTTAAAGCGAAGTACACAAACTTATTTTCTTATTACTAAGTACGGTATTTTCAATAACAATCGATCAGTCGTAAGCAGGGGTTGGGTGTGAAGGAGGCGAAGGCGAAGTTGGTGGTCCTGGGGACGCTTCTGAGAGGCAGGGCGAAGGCTGTATATGACAGCTTGGACGGTGCTGGCGGGAAGAATACGTGGGAGGCAGTTACGGAACGGTTGGTGGCGGAGTTCGACAGCCCAGTGGACAGGGGGGAGGCACTGCAGAAGTTCTGATTGGCGAGGTTGTCGCCCGATGGTGACCCACTGGTGCTAGCTGTGGAGCTCACCAGATTGTTACGCCGTACACTGCCAAATCTGGATGAGGAGTCGGAGGAGCAGTTGCTGGCGTCGCAGTTTATGGAGAGTGTCACTGTTTCTCAGTAGCTAAAGTTAGTAAACGCAGCACAACCTATAGATGTCAGTGAACTGGCGAAGGTGACTCGTCAGCTGCTGACACGAACAGTAGCTCCGGTCGGGTACGGAAAGCAGGAGATAAGTAGTGTCGAGAAGAAGATTGAGCAGCTAGAGCGTGAGATCGCATCATTACGAATAAATCATAAAAGAAACGATAAATGTTACGCTTGTGGAGGGACAGGACATTGGAAGGCAAACTGTCCAACAAGACGACGACATAGATATTTTAGACGTTATAACGTGTGTTCTTTCTGCCCTAGGAATCTGGGGGTTGTTGCATTAGTGGATAGAGGGGAAATTTATACGAGATTGTACATAAATGAACGGGATTTAGTGTGTTTGATCGATACATGGGCAGCGGTATCGTTAATAGGCAAAGAGCAATGTAAGACACTCAAGCCATGTACATTAGCTGTCCACACTATAGGAGGGCATATGTTAGAGGTGTTGGGGGTATCTAACAGTATTGTAAAAGTGGGTGAAGCTGAGATAAATTTTCCGTTGGTGGTAACCACAAGCTTATCGAGACCGATACTAGGAGCAGATTTCCTAAGAGAAGTAAAAGCGATAATTGACTTAAGAGGCGGTAAGGTGGTCACAAAGTATGATTCATTGCCAATACACGAAAGTAGCGAAGTGGCTGAAATAAGAGTGGCAACGGACGTTTCGATGAAGAAACCAAACATTAACGAGTTACGCAAAAAGTATGCGAAACTGTTCATTGGAGATGGGGAGCCGTATGGATTTTGTGACAAAGTAAAGCATGAAATCTCGATAAAGAACGACCGAGTAAATATATTTGCAACACATCGTGTCCCGGTGCATTTAGAGGCCGAGGTAAATCGACAGGTCCAGGAAATGTTGAAAGAAGGCATAATTGAGGAAGCGGACAGCCCATATAGCTCACCGATACTCTTGGTAAAGAAACCCAACGGAAAGTATAGATTTTGTGTCGACTTTAGAGAACTGAATAATATAACAGACCTGAAACCTTGTGCAATGCCAACAGTGGTGAAAACATTAGATCGGCTACAGAATGCCACGGTGTTTACAGTGCTGGATTTACGGTAAGGTTATTGGTAACTACATATAAAAGATAGCGATCGCAGCAAGACAGCATTTACGGTACGTGATAAACAGTACCAATTTAAACGAATGCCGTTCGGGTTGGCGGGTGCACCGTTTACGTTCAGAAGATTATATGACGCTACTGCTTAAGAATCTGGATAATGTCGAGGTATATGGCGACGATGTAGTTGTATACAGCCTGACAGAAACAGATCACGTCAAGCATGTGGAAGCAGTCTTGAAGCGAATTGATGAATTTGGACTTCGAATTAATAAGGAAAAGTCGCAGATAGCGAAAACAGCGTCACATTGTTGGGACATAAAGTGGGAAATGGAGAAATAAAACCATTGCCGGAGAAAATTCTTACCATGAAAAATATTGCAGGACCTAATTCGAAAAGGAAGTTGAGACAGTTCCTGGGAAGAGCGGCGTTCTATAGTCGGTTTGTCAAGAATTTCGACGAAATAGCGCTACTTATATTGATATAATAAGAAGTATATAACGCGAGTTTTAAACGTAATGTCTGGCAGCAGAAGATGGGGGAAAATCAAGAGAGGACGAGCTTCACTACAGTTACCTTCAAACAACCAGCATGACAGCAATGCTGCCTTCCCACAAAGAGGGGTGGGATTAGAAATGATCGACCATAAAAATGCATACCTCGCCATATCCCACAGATATCCGTCTCCGGCGGTAAGGTTTCAACAAGTGCGGAGCTAACACGAAAATTATTCATAAATGGGTAGTGTGTGGTCAATCACACTCAGTTATCCCTTGGGCACTGCGGTCACGCTCTCAAATCATTAAGACCACCTCTAAACTAAATACCTTTTCAGATACCTCCAGAAGAACCCTTCCACGGTGTGGGCCACCGGGGAGTGATAACCGCCCTCATACTTCTAACAGCACTCAAGACTGAAACACTAATACGGTCCAAACGTCGGGCATTCGCTTTTCGTCCTCTCAATTTCGTAAACAACAGTAATACCGCGAGAAGACAGTGAGTAGGACTTCCATGGCAGAGGTTGTATACACGTGACCAAGTAAAGGTATTTCGAGAGGGAGAGAGGACTCTCCCCACCCTCAGCCGTACCAAGGCATATATATATATATATCATTTGGATTTAAGGGTAATAGTACTACACCTGCACAAATATATAATATGATCGAATGATATACACATATATATAGAGCTTACCTGCACACTAATACATTTCCACTATCCAATCGGGCCCGATGAATAAAATCATTGGATAATTGAATTTGGTTTAGCAAACTATTCTCTAATTTTTCACTGACAATAAGATGTAAATATTGACGACTTATCGACTATATTATTTTAAAAGTTACAAAAGAGAAAGGATAGTGAAAAGCAAAATAAAAGGAAGAATATTACATCGAATAGGAAACTATACTTCAAATGAATTGTGAAATAATGAGCTAGACAGTATTTGTAGAGCAGTAATTCAGTGTGTAAGGCTATTCAACTTTTAGCCACAAGGCGACGATTTCGAACCCTCACATCAGTTTGTGCAACTAGGTCGTATCACTCATTAGCATGCATACTTATAGTATGGCTCGGAGATAAATAAATGAATCCATACCTGGTAAGAGAGTTTAACAAGGTTAGTATTAATACCAATTAGATAATCATTGACAATTAGAGTAGACTATATTGATTGATTAAAGTATTCAATTCTTTTTATCCAAATGGATTGTTTTTCTTAACTTAATTTCAGTCTAGACAAAAAAAGGAGTATGTTATGCTCAGTAACCATACAGTAGGATTAAATCAAATTCTAGAATACAGATAAACCACTGTTTGGTTATTGATTCGAACAACTATGTTGTCTTTTTACTAGAAATCCCAGTGAATTTCTCAAACTTCATGGATGATAGTAACGAATATAATATCAGCGAAAAGAAATCATGATACACCATCAATTGACTTATATTGAGAAAAATAATAGATCCCAGTTTAAAAAATTATTATTTATTATCTATTTATTTGAACACATAAATATTCGTACAAAGGGGCACTGAATACATATGCGCCACACAAGTCATTTGATTTGTGCGTGGGTTGTGATACTGACCGGGTGCCCAGACCGAAGCAATTACAAACTAATGCCTCTTGATGTCTGAAAATTACGAGTTCTACCTCAAAATAACTATCTGAATTGACAGAGAAATTGTATATTCAATCTTGTTAAAAAGATTAACACAATGGTTAGATGACGACCAAGTCAGTTTTCTGATCGACACCGTTACAAAGTGAATAGTTCATTTTCACAATCATTGAATAGAACACTAAACTATTTAAGATACGGATAATTAATTCCAACGATACTATTTATTTGACGTAAGTGGAACTTATCAGTGATTTATCAGTTTTCACTTCTAATATACTACAATACAAATATACTGAATAGATAAATTTAAAGACAGTATATATCAAGCTGAAAGGCATAAAATAACTGTTTTCAGTTTCAATATCAAAAATAAATTATTTTGATAGTATTGAATATTTATATTATAACACTAGTTAATCAACATCAATTATGATAGTCCCCAAATGCCCTGGTACGGGCGAGGGTGGGGGAGAATCCTCTCTCCCTCTCGAAATGCCCTTACTTAGTAACTTGTGTACAGCCTCTGCCATGGAAGTCCTACTCACTGTCTTTTCGCGGTATTACTGTTGTTTACGAAATTGAGAGGACGACACTTGGACCGGATTAGTGGTTACACAGGATCCAACTAAGAGAGTTGGAAAATCCTGATTCCAAACCAATGGAGTGCATGGGCTCCAGGATCCTAAGGGAACAACTGGCGTATGAACCTATTATTGATCACCGACTGCCATGAGACTGCATATCTCGACGTTGCCCCACTGACTTGTGGATCAGACTTTTAGGTCGAAGGCTCAGGGTGTTGTCTCCCAAGAAAATCACTTACTTCGTTCTGGGCACCCGGGCAGTATCACAGCTCATAAATAAATCAAATGACTTGTGTGGTGCATGTGTATTCGGTGCTCCTTTGTACCAATATGTATGTGTTCAAATAAATAAATTATCCCAATGATTAATTAACATGCATCTCTCTTTCTTCTATAATTAGTTATTTGAAACTTTCTAATTCATTATATTCATATAATCATACACTTATAATTTGTTTACAAGCGTGCAATTAGATGTAATTATAAAGCTTTAAAAATGAAATCATTGAAAATAAAAAAAATTAATTCGTTAAACTAATTATCCTGCTACTTAATGAATGTATTCATATGACAACTATACATTAAAATGGATAAAGTATTTTTGTAAATATTCCTACCATATTTCTACACATATCTAGGGTTGTCTATCGAATACCTCTAAGTACATAGAATTCATCAATGTCTGGATTATCGATCGATCAACTCATGAATAAAATACCATTTATTGAAGGTCAAAGCTTTATTCCAAACTACAATAACAACAACAACAACAGGAACTAATCATTTTATAAATGGACAAGTATTGTGTGTATTTATTATAAGACTTACAGAAATTCATTTGTATAAATATCAGAGTATACGATTAAAAGACTATTTCACACTATCGTTATAAACAATAATATTGATAATAGTATAGTTGCAAAATATAAAAGTACCAAAAAATTGATCGTTTTAAGATGGTGAAGATTTGTAGCTCAGGTGGATGATTCTGATAGAGTTTTGTTCTATGAGTTAGATGGTTTGGTCGTGGAGATTTCATTAGTCTTCTGAATGACATCATCAGCACAAACTTCAGGTAGGAGTGAAGTGTTCGGACTTCTCCACATGTGGTTAACAGCTTGTCGTGTACACCTCGATGTTAATTGGTTCTTGTTGATCATAAATCCAAACATTTCACTTCTACCTGAAGTTTGTGCTGATGATGTCTTTCAGAAGAACAATGAAAGCTCCACGACCAAACCATCTAGCTCAGAGAACAAAACTCCATCAAAATTGATAGTTTACTTCAAAAGCAAAAAAATTATTCCTTGGAATGATCATAAATAACAATTAAAAATTTCATGTGTGCTCACTCATAACTTATATTAAAGTGAATTGATGGATAGGAGTATATAAATTAATCAGTTATGAACAATCTAAATGCTGCTACAGATTAGCATCAGATCAAGTTACTATATTTCAAATAAGGATAGCCAAAAGGAAATTAAGAGAAAACCGAAGAAATCATGATAGTAGTGCTGATACATCAGGCTAGTTAAAAATCGGTCAACTGACAAGTGAACACGATTGGCTAAGAAATAGCTTATATTTGCTGAGGGCAAACAAATACATGAATGAGTATACAAATAAAACTGTTCAGTTCATTGAATAAACTTCCTTTCTCACTTTATCATTTTGCTTAAGAAGCTAATCGGACTCGTGTATAGGAAGACTGCATAGATTCTGTAGGACTCATCACAAGCAAAACAATTTAATTACAACACCTTTACGTAATATTGAACGTTAGTTCAGATATTAGAAGGAAGGATTTCTTTGAGTTAGCATAGGTACCTCATTGATGAATACTAATAAATGTAAAATCACATTCAAGAAACTCGATATCAGATACGCACAAAAACCAGAGCGAATTAATACCTCAAGTTATTTAAAGTAGTGATTACGTTTTAAACATTATTGAAAATAACCTGTATTGCCATTAGAAAACAACGTGACTTTTTCAGTATTCGAGATACAATTAATTTTGTTTAGAAAACTAAAGACAATCGTTATCACATTCTACACTTAGGAAAGAAATTTCTTGCAAAACATAAGCTGACCGATTTATATATATATATATATATATATATATATATATATATATAACTGCTTTTTTCAGTCAGTCATAAGTAACGTGGAGCCTTGTACACACTAAATAGGTTGAAATGATCATCTCGGGATTTCCTTGCAATTTAGTGATAATAATTCTGAACCGTGGAGTGTGTCATTCAGAGTATAACACTAAAATTCATTAAGCCAGTCAGTTAGAAATAAGCAACGTAGAACCTGACACATAAGTGGATCGGTTTAATTCACCATACCACAATCAGTACAGCCAGACGAAATTATCAAGAAAATTTCCAGAGCTATGTGATCAATGCTAGCACAGTAAATTATGTACAGACAATGACCCGAGAATAGAGAGTGAATCCAAAGAATAAAAGATAATTTTAAAACACAAAAAATGGGAAATAAAGCATCTGACATATATTCCATTAAACCTACTTTACAAAGAGCATACATTAATACATTTGAAGACAATGGCAACCTTATCAAACGGCTCTGCTGATCATCACGCTTTAACAGTTAATTCATCTGAAGTTCAATTTATCACATTCTGAGAAAAATCCTTTATGTCATAGTATATACGAAATTCAGTGGTTCAAGTAAATAAGGTATTGTTAAATCTTACATGAACGTAAACCAGTTAAACATAGAAGACATTGATGCGGTTTCCGATTCAAACTGTGTATACATCCACCACTTTTTAGATACATCTAGCAAATGGGAGACAATCAGAACAAATTCTGAGCGGATGGAAGAGGTCTTAATATTCACATTTAAAGATAACAGACCAAAAACTCCCCTATGCTATATCAACCACCAACTAACAATTAAAACCATCTCAAGAATACTTACTCTTTCAATATCGTTTTTCGAATTTTGAACAATAATAATATGAGATATGCAATTTGCCATCAATTCTTCTTCATTTTTGGCATTATCGAAACCTCCAACATACAAACCAGGTAATATTTTTGTCATACTACCACCCATTTTCTTCCTGTAATAAAAAAGCTAATCGTTAAATGAATTGAATGGTCAGTCATGAGCAATTTGAAACCTAGGTAAACAATTGAATTATCTCAAGTTGCCACAATATTAACAGAGAAATTAGAAAGATTCATTTAACAAAGAAGAGTAGAAGTAATTGTATGGAGATGAGTATAAATCGTTTACGAAGTACAGATTAGCGTATTCGGGACTTTGAGCTAGTGATACTATTAGGCTTCCCAGATAGAACTAGCTGGAGTAAGACTTTAACCTTTGACCTAGCGGTTGGATGACGAACGTCTTAACCACTAAGATTCTTAAAAATTTAGTACATTTTGATCATGTGATTTTATTGAAATGCATCTAAATCAATAAGGCGTGAAATACCACTTGAAGGTTTTAAGCAATTGACCTACTCTCGTAACTAAGCAAAAGAAAGCAATCACTTAGGTTCCGTTTACATGAAATGATATCTAGTGGACTGTATGCTGATGACCAACAAGTATGATAACTGACATATTGTTGAATATGGTCTGACTGATGATCCAAAACATGATATTAATGTGACTTATTGTCGACAATATTTCATAACAAATTTAAAAAATGATAAGATATTCAGTAAATACGGTGCGGTAAATATGAGATGTATTTGGAACAGTGACTGACTTTGAGCTACATCAATAGTTTCCGATTAATTGGATTCACAATAGCTTTTCGCATAGACACGTTATATTTTGTTGCAGTCTAATGAAGTCGCTTCATCTTCAGTTCGAACGGTATATGATACTGAGAATACGTAATGTGATCGTCAGCTAAGTTGATAGTAGTATAATATCACAAACAGATAAACTGATATAAATTTACCTATTACTCCACGATTAACACTTAGATTAATTGCTTAACCGCTTTATCACATTTCGATATCACTTTGAAAATGATAATAACCAACATATTTCCTTCATATTGTGATCATATTTCTCATTAACCTAGACAGTCAACCACTGTTAAGCATGTTTGTCATTGAATACTCTGATCAAGAGAAAAGTGGGAATCGGGAAACAGATCTAAAAGTTCCTGATTCGGTCTGGGCACCTGATCAGTACCACAGACCACACATACATCAAGTGACTTGTGTGGCTCATATGTATTTGATGCCGCTTTGTACCAATATTTGTGTTCAAATAAATAATATAATATTATAACAGTTCCATCGGTAGTTCATTAGCCAAAAATCCTCTGGGTTTATTTAGGTTTCCCTAGTTTGGTGATATCGTCAGCGCGCAAAGCCTTTACTTTTTTATATCAAACCAGCTATCATTGCAAACTGGTCGCAAAGCATTACTAAGTACGGGAGGTGCAAAACATCTTAAACTTCCTTACGTATAAATGTATGTCAGTATTTTCAGCTATAAGGAATTTTACCTGGACATTTCATCTTGATTAGGTACGTATTTAGTAGAAAAACCAACCACTAAGAGAGCGACTGAACGATTGTACACTTTTACGCACATGGTGAGGAAGACATAATAGACAACCCTACAAAAGACTTCAATGAAGATTTTCTATTCAGTCAGTCAGTCAGCTGCAACGTAGGACCAGGCACGTATATGCATCGGTCCAAGTTGCCATACCGCATTAGCACAACAAGATGAACACCGGATTCATAGGAGTAGTTAATTCAGTGGTGGTAATATATAGAAGAAAGATTGTGTATAAGGGTGATGCACTAGTTCGGCACCTGCTGCACTGAGAATGGCAATTCAAATACTATATTTTGAGTAAAGAACACGACTGACAGTTTCTTACAAACATACTTATTATTAGATATTTAACAGGAAAGGATTGTTTTATTTACCATAAAATTCAGAAAGTTCCGTTCGTCAGTTTTTAGCTTCGGCTTTATGCAGCATGAGTACGAAGCCCGGAATTTATTGTTCAGGTTAACTCTGTTATTACCACAGAAGAGGAGCGACTGATCATATGAAAACGAAACAGTAAGGGCTTTAGGCTTATATCCAACTCGCAGACTTGCTATCAATCATATAACCCGAAATTTCAGTAGCAATTTTTGTACAAAAAACTGTATGATATTGTGAACACCAAGTTATGTTAGTAATCCGAGTTTCCGAAGAAGTAACCAAGAGTTATCTTACGTTAAGTATTACCTTAAATTGTACTGTCTATTGATTTTATTTCTAGGATAGTACAATTAAATAACGAAGACGTTTACTCAATTACACCTGCTGCTTGCCTTGATTTTAGTCTGAGTACAATAGGAGCAGGATATAAGAAATAATAAGCGGTTTAACAAGCTGACAAAACAGCTTTATGAAGACATTATCGAATAATTGATTAGGAATGGAAATCGTGATTGAGGCTTACGAAGTGACTGAAACTATGAGCAGAACCTGAAAGAAGTGTGAGTGGAGGTCCCAGTTCCACGGGTTCTGTAAATCTTCGATTTGAACATAGCCCTATACTCTCCTGTAGAAGTAATAACTTATCTGTCCCTTAAGAAACTCGTTAGTGTTCGAGTTTTTATCGCCATTAACACTAGTACACACGAATTCTTGAGAGTTAAGAAGCTGAAGATACCACACAAATAATTATGCAAATGCTACATAATCAAATAACCTGCTGGACTTCCTGCAACTGAGAAACGCAACCCTCAAAGTATCGCATTTCAATATTCAATCCAACTACCAATGTAACCAATACGATTTTCATATGCTTGTATTACTCAAGTGTAATCCTTCTGATAATTGCATTAACATTTTTTTCATAGGAATAAAATAAAGGTTTCATAGTGAAATCATTAATCTAAATAGTTCAGATGGTCCTGCACGGAATAGAAGGAGCTTTCGCATAACGAGCTTCCGTGTCTAGTAACAGTGGATCATCGATGCCTCAGGGTAGGAACCTAGGTGTGTTGGCGATGAAGAAAGAAAAAGGAATTTATTTTCGTAGGTCATATTAAGGTTCTGTCCTTAGTCCTTAAGAAGCCGTTTTCTCCCGGGAAGTCGTTTGGACTAGCTCAGCCGGCAGCAAATTCCAGCACTTGACAACTCTTTAGGACTAGAGGTTGTGTCTGCTGTCCATTCTTCTGTGTTTTATCTCCAGTTTCTGGGTGTTACCCCTTAGGTTTGTATTGGAGCTAAACTTGAGTCGGTGTTTAACGGGATGTCTAGAAGTGTTAAGGATACTGTAAGTCATTAAAAGGTCATCTCTAAGATGCCTATAATCTAATGTGTAAAGGTTTAGTGATTAGAGGCGCTCTTCATTAGGCTTGAATCGGAGTCCTCGAACTGATTTCTTGCCTTGCTGTCGGACACACTCCAGATTGCCTTATCCTTTTAGAGTGAGGGAGGAAATACTATATTTCCGTACTGTACATGGGAACGAATGAAACTGTCAAAGATTATGTGGAAAGCTTTTCCGTCATACTGGCGAAAAACGGTCTTCAATGTTATCAGTTCAAGGTTTGCTCGAAAGGCATTTTTATCACAGTTGGCGTAGGACTTCGAATCGTAGGTTTCCAGCACTCCTAAATCTTTTTCAACTTAGGATACTTCTAGAGGGGAGTCGTCTAAGTTGTAACTGTAGTCTGCGACATGTCACAGATGGACTACTTCACACTTCGAAATGTTAAAGATAAGTCCGTTGTCATCTGCCCAACTTTGAAGTCAACTCAGATTTTCCTGAAGTGCCTGTATATTCTCTTGATTTTATATCTTTCTCCAAATTTTCACGTCATCAGCGTAAAGTAATAAATCAGACGATACCTGTTGTGGAAGATCGTTTATATAAATCAGTAAAAGAAGAGATCATAGTACTGAGCCCTGGGAGACTCCACTAAGACATTCCATAGCCTGAGAGAAGTCAAGGTAGATGACGTCAGCCTTCCCCTTCCGATCGCGAATGATTGTCCATCCGTCCACGCAGTCAGCATATTGAATAAGCAATAGTAACTTTTTCTGAACCTGTGCTGTTGTGGTGAAAAGAAGTTTATGGATAGTAAGTAATCATGTAGGCCGTTGCATGTCAGGGACTTCGTAATTTTTGAAGGTATAGAGAGAATATCCAAAAGTCGGCAGCTTGAAGGTTCGCTGCGTCGACCCTTTTTGAAAAGTAGTATAATGTGAGCCAGCTCCCGAATTTCCGATAATTTGTCTAGGGTTAACGAATGTGAGAACAGCACGCTAAGCGGTGTTGCCAAGATTGAAACTGCCTCCCTGAGTATAGCAGAATCAAGCACATGGGGGACAAGGGAAGTGTCCTAGTTTAGGTACTGCGGTTTCCGGTACAGCAAGTCAGCTCTTAGGTTCACTTCTTAATGTCCTGTGGAGATGAGGGTGATGTTTTCATCAATAGAGTTAGAGTGGGTCGGTCGAAATATCCGAGTGTACTGTTCAGCCAGAAGGATAGAGGCGTCACCGTCGTTATTAGTCGGACCATTAGGACCTTGCAGTTGGGGAACTCCAGTTTCGACCTGTCAAAGAGAGGCTACATAACGGACTAAACTCTCCGGATTGATAAGCCTTATCTTATACTGAAGCCTGTCTTCTCTTATTCCCTTTGTGCATACGTTCCTTACTTGTTTTGAATTGCCTGTATGCACTATTGTTAATAGTTCGTTTATATCCCATCCAGTAGTGTCTTTTGGGGCGTAACAAGCGAGGAGTGTGATGCGATTCTGAAGGAATCCGAACGTACTTGTCCAAGATCATCCTCCAGCACGGAAAATAATGACAGCATTTAGTGAAGTTAGCGTCACCACTACATCGGAGTAGTCCGAGTGGTATTGCTTGTTTATCATGGATGATGTTTTGCAATAATGTGAACCACTGGTGCTAAAACCAGTATAAACAGATTGCTTTCGTCGCTGTTGCTACTTGTCATTCCGGTGCAGTTCCAAGTCTCTGACAATATCATATGTGTGGCACTTGAACCATTAAACTGCATAAACAATGGTCAGTTTTTTAGTTATTTATGGATTTTTGTTTCACGTAATCTGAGTAGGTTTGTCTCAGGGCAGTAGGGTTAATGAAATCAACAGCCATCACCCACCATGTAGATGATGTTTCTGGTACAAGTTACGTAATGTTTAACTGACAGTCTTTTGATTAGTCATATTAAGGTGGTCAAAAGAAAGCAAATAATAGGAAGAAGTGTCGTTGAGAAAAAGATTAAAGTAAATGACATGTTACACCAGTATACTATACAACAACAACAAGATGTTGAGAAAGTCCAAGTAAATACTACCTCGCTCTTAGAGAGCAGACGTTGAAAATGAACTGGCCCGTTGCCCCATTGATGAAACGGTTATCACAATATATGCGTACAAAACTCAGGTTTTCTCTTAAAGAACATTTCTGAAACGGCTATGGACACACTGACCGAAGTGTTCAAAATTTTATAAGTACCTTAAGTTAGGACAGGTTTATACGTAGCACATCTGCAATTGGTGTATACCGATTCAGTAAATGCGAATTCAAAATTGAGGGTTACCAAAGATATATTAGAAAAGTTATCAGTACGTGCTTGGCTAGCAGTTGCAACGGATATGTATCACTGAGTACCCACCCGTGGTCTGGAGTGGATGCGTGACCAAGCGCCTTCAGGTAGAGTGTACTGAAGTTCGCATCGATGTAGAAGACATACAGAACTATTTATTTTGAAGGTGTGTTGATCGCTACGAGATAATAGCTGCCTGAAACACTAGCGAATTCTCATTAAAATTAGTCACTGGTAAATATAATGAATTAGGACAATCACATAATTGATTCAAATATCTGGTAAAAAATAACTTCATTGGCAAATTTTCCATCAACTGTTTTAAATTTTGTTGTTTTTTCATCGTCGTTGCATTCACACTTTGTTTACACTTTCGTTTTCTTCAATTTGACCTTCACAACCTTCTGCTGCCAGGCACTCCACTTTTAACTGGTGCCACATACTACTTATGTCGACAGATATAAGTAACCTTCACCACAATATGTCTGTGTTTCAAAAAATATTCAAGCGGATAGCTGAAAATTGAGCAGTTTATAAAGTATCTTTAAGGTCAATGACAATCAACACATAACAATGGATTGCACGCCATAATTAGGCGCACGCGCCATTGGCTCCTCCTTCCACACCTGCTATCTGTTGATGCTAATATTCGTTGTTGACTATTGAGCTTATTTATTCTAGCCAGTCACCTGACCATCAGAATAGCATAATCCAGGTTAAGCACCAATCGCTTGACGTGACTCAAACGTAAAACAGGTCACACTAACCCCGTCTAAATCGACCATACACCTGCACTAGTTATCTGCAACATCATCTATATATATACTCTAGATAAATTATGTAGCAAGTTAGTTATCCTTAATGGTAATCACTACTGATACAAGTAAAAAGCCACAGGTAATTTTGAGAGGTAAATTCAATCATCTGAAGTGAATAAAAGAAAAATACTAGAATCATGGAAAAGATTAGAACTATTTCACTAGGGACGTTGTGTACCATCGGTCCTAAAAGAATATAAAATACTTTATCATCATTGTCTGCATCCAGTGACAAAGTAACCAGCTGATTTTAAAGAATTTAATATAATCTTCAAACGAATTAAGCAGTTGGCTTTCAGAAGAAAAATCATTAGATTTAATTGTTCATCTAATTTGTTGATCATCTTCAGAAAAGCTACACAGTAATCATGTTTTTATGCGAAGCCATTACTATGAGACACACTTATGATCCTTTAAATGATTATGTTAAATGCGTGAGTCCAGAAACACGATTCTCCGTTGAAATTAGTATATTATGCTGGAGCTTATACAACAAGCGTATTAAAGGAAAAATTGTAAGCGTAGTGAAAAACTCTCTTTTTAGTCTCGCAAGTAGACAGAAAGATTGTGAGCTCAGAAAACAGTTAAAACAACCTACACGAAACCTCTATGCGTGAATCGCCTTCATACATGAAAACCAATTTCATTTAGGACCCAGATAAATAAAAAACAGACATACGCCTAAACTATTATGACTGGGACTAGCATTACTGAAAAATGTGTGCTCAATACTGACAACACCGATTCCGACAGAGAATAGTGGTATGCATTTATTTGGCCTCGATAATAAACCAAACTGATATCTGGATGAACTACCTATATATGGTTTGCTTACAGTTAGACTAAGATTTAAATTTCTATAATTTGAGCTTAGCAGTGTATTGTGTCAGTCTACCAACGACTTACTATGTTAAAGTGGGTTTAGAATATTATGGAAGTTGATTTTCTCATCTAGTATATTTTGCTCTTTTAATCCTATCATATCAAATATTCGTATGTGAAAACGTTCGAGAATAACAGTGAGAAAATGGCAAAAACGAGTGATAAATGTACAGGATAAGTCTACGAATTCTTGATAAGATGGAAATAATGTGTCATAAGTTTGAATTATTTCACATAAACCTTGTAGTCACGAAAACTAAGATGCTCAGAAGCCTTTGAAAATAAGGCAAGGCTGGAGTAAAATTTTGATAATGAACTCAACGGGCACAGCACGTCTCATGGAGTGATCTTTATGCAATGATCGAGAAGCCCGAATAAAAACTTTCTTTCGTATATACGTTGGGTTTTTTTCTTTATTAGATGTTAATTTTTGATTATTGTGAGGCTCTCGCTTGCATTAAAAATTTTCTGCTCTCGG